ACTTTTATTCTACTCTTAGACTTCATTGGTTGGTTTTATTAGGAATCCTAGATTGTAAATCATCTCTCCTTGGAATTTAGGATATTGCTCCATTTTCTTCTAGTTTTCAGTATCATTGTTAAGAGGTCCAATGCCTTTCTCTGTTCTCATGTCTGCTGTTTTGTCTGCATTCTGTTATTTTATCTGAAGCATTTAGGGAATTTAAAAAATCTCAGTTGTTCTGACATTTTAGGATTAAGTGCTTTTGTGTGAGTCTTTTTCATTATTTTGCAAGCCACTCGTCAGATCCTTTTCAATCTGGAAACTCAGGTCCTTCAGTACTGGGGAAATGTCTTTCTTTGATAATTTTGCCCCCTCCCCCATCTCCTTTTTTCTTTCTGTAGATTAGATGTTTGCTCTCCTGAATTGATCCTATATTTTTTTCTCATATTTTTCAACTGCTTGTCTTTTTGTTTTTCTTTTGAGACTTCTCGTTTTCATTTTATCATATGGTATTGAATTTAAATTTTTTTTGAACTTTTCAAAGTTCGTTTCTCTCTGAACTTTTCTTTAGAAAAACAGCATCCTGTTGTTACTTCTTTAAGGATTGGCAGACCTTATTTTTGATGTGACTGGGCAGGGAATCTGTCCATTTTGGAAAATCCCCCCTTACCCTCAGTACTCACTAGTTATAAAAATACTTTTCCTCAGGCAAGTCAATTTCCCTAAAAGGAATCCTCTAAGATCTCTGAGGGACAGGAACCTGAATACAGTCATTATGGGAGCTTAGAGGAGAAGTCTCATAGTTCAGTATGTAGACTTTCACGTATTCCCTTTACCCCAGTGTGCAGAAGGCACTTTTCTCCTAGGTAATATTCAGCTGTCTCTGTATCTTCAAGATCAGAACTTCTCTAATGACTCCAAGGAGTAAACCTTGTTGTCTCTGGATTGTGGTAGAGTAGTGTGTTACCTAGCTGCTTGGTGGGGGAAGTAGGGCATCCCTACTCCTTTTATAGACTTGCAAGCAGTCTTGTTGTTTACAGCCTCTTTTCTCAACCATGCCCCCTCAGAGATCCCTAGGCCTGGACCTAGGCACTTTGGGAGGCCGAGAGAGGTGGATCACTTGAGGTCAGGAGTTCAAAACTAGCCTGGCCAACTTGGTGAAACCCCGTTTCTAATAAAAATACAAAAATTAGCTGAGTGTGGTGGCACATGCCTGTAATCTCAGCTGCTCAGGAGGCTGAGTCACCTGGAGCTGTGTTTATGCTGTATCAAGGATTTTCAGGACAGAGCAGAGATAAATGCCTGAGTTCAACACACCATGTTGAACAATTCACTGGTCTCATGCCAAACATACAGACTTTTTTGCCTTTCCAAGTGAGAATCTTTGGGAGTTAATCTGGGAGTCTATTTTTGAAAATATCCTCAGGTGATTCTGATAACATCATACATATAAATTCATTATTACAGCACTGTCACACAGGCATACACATTTTACAGTTAACTCTGAAGCCACAATGAAACAGGGATAAGGGGATGAGGAAACGGACAGGTCAATTCTGAGAAAAGGCCGGGCATGGTGGCTCATGCCTATAATCCCAGAACTTTGGGAGGCCAAAAGAGATGGATCACTTGAGGTCAGGAGTTTGAAACCAGCCTGGCCAACTTGGTGAAACTCCGTTTCTAATAAAAATACAAAAATTAGCTGAGCGTGGTGGCACATGCCTATAATCCCAGCTGCTCAGGAGACTGAGGCAGGAGAATAGCCTGAACCTGGAAAGCGGAGTTTGCAGTGAACTGAGATCACACCACTGCACTCCAACCTGGGCAACAGTGAGACTCTGTGTTAAAAAAGAAATTACAAAAAAAAAAAAAAAAAATCTGAGAAAAGGATGGCTTAAAAAGGGACAGGCCTTTAGTGATCCAGGGGCATTTTGGAGAGGGCATGTCTTGATTATGAATGTTGGTGGATTTCTTAATGGCGAGCAGGTCAGGGAAACAGGAGAACCGATATTAATTAGAGTACTAGGATGGCCACCCGCTGGCTAGGAAGGATGGTTGGCAGATGGTGTTAATACATTTGACATCTAGTTTGAAGACAGAATAGATGTTTTCTTACTTCAATTCTACTTCATCTTCTTTTCTTCCCTCCCCCCCCCCGACTACCCTGCTATTTTCCTGACACAGATTCAAACAATAAAGGAAACTATTAAGCCATTTTGAAAATTTGAAATTTGGAAAGCCAAGAGTCCTAAAGAAAATTTCACACAAATGTGACCTTGAGGAACAGTATTCATTCAAGATAACAATTAAAAAAAAAAAAAAAATTATATCTACTGAAAACGAACACAGCAGCATGTATAGAATAAGGATAGATATGGTTTCCATATTGCATACCTCACCATGAGCTCTATTTTAGGAGCAGTATGTGTGTATGGTTAGTTATGAATTGTGGATAGGTATGAATTGTGGATTAGAAAGCAGAGAGTCACAAAGGAGTTGCCAAAGGAGTTGGCAGAAAAGAGACACAGATGAAGAAAAGGAAGGAGGGGTAAGGATGGGAACTACTGAACTAAGATGGCACACAACCAAGATTCCTCTTGCAGTCCATACTTTTAAACAGGAAAAAAGGGAGGTGGAGAGATGGGGTGGGGCATGGATGGTGCTAATCAGAAAAAGTAAAAAGCTTTTCAATCATTTTTTATTACCAACCTAGGTTTGATGTCCACATTATTATTTTCTTTTTTTTTCTTTCTTTTTTTTTTTTTTGAGGCGGAGTCTCGCTCTGTCGCCCAGGCTGGAGTGCAGTGGCCAGATCTCAGCTCACTGCAAGCTCCACCTCCCGGGTTTATTCTCCTGCCTCAGCCTCCGGAGTAGCTGGGACTACAGGCGCCTGCCACCGCGCCCGGCTAGTTTTTTGGTTTTTTTTTTTTTAAGTACAGATGGGGTTTCACCGTGGTCTCGATCTCCTGACCTTGTGATCCGCCCGCCTCGGCCTCCCAAAGTGCTGGGATTCAGGCTTGAGCCACCGCACCCGGCCCCACATTATTATTTTCATTTGTCCAGTAAGTAATGCTATTGGAACAAAGTTTGGTATTTGAGAACATGGAATATATACTAAGGTGACACAAAGTGTTTATTAAATGTGTTGCAATGCAATGTGATTATTCCAACAGAGGGAAAAACGTGAAACTGGATTTGCTATATATTTTTGTTTGCTTCAAAAATGCAGCATAGATTTTTGTCACATTCATTTACTTCAAGTACATTCTCTCACAACTGCATTTCCTAGCACAATGACTGGCATATGGTAGACAACTTTTAAGGTTTTGGAATGAATCGGTAAGAACTCAGAGAACAATTGTAGATATGGAAAGATTCTTACTGTTTTTCTAGATTTGGGTTCCTTAAAAACACAAACACACACATGTTGTGTATCTAACAGCTCTATTTCTACCATACCTTTATTGAAAGCTACTTTCTGCAATTATGTAATAACTTATTCACCATCCATATCTTTCTACATTTTGATTCCCTTTGTATAGAGATGGAGAAAATCCTAAGGCTCTTGGGAAAGGTATTCAGTCATGAAGCAATCTCCAAAGTTGTATTTTGGCATTACCTAACTAATGCACAAATTTTCATTCATTTCATTCTTATTGATATTACGTATACTATAACATTTAATGTTCACAGAAAAGTAACTTCTATTTTAAGAAGTTTACTCACAGAACCATAGTTTGTGCATTTAACAGTCACTATGAAATATGTATCAAACATTACCCATCATTTTAGAGAACAATTTAAAAACTCTGAAGTAATTACTTTCCTTAACTTTGTCATCCCAACATTCTGGGTATAGGCATTGTTGGAAAAATATACAAACCAAAATCTCCCAAGCCAGAAATCCTCTCCACAAACGTTAGTAGACAAAACCCTTTTATTATTGAATAAGCATTAAACCAGACTGTGATGCACATCACAGGCAACTTGCTAAGAGATTGCAAAGACAGAAATCTCGCCCTTTTATGTAGCCAAGTATATACAACCCATTACATACACGTTTTCAAGATGAACAGTAACTAGTCCTCAAGTAAGAGGACCTGACATTTGTGTCAGATATAATTCATCTTTACTTAGTAGTTGGGGTGACCATCTGTGTTAGTTAATTAGTTTTATCCAGAGGAAAAACAAACTTCTCCTGTTTTTTTTTTTTTTTTTTGAGACGGAGTCTGGCTCTGTTGCCCAGGCTGGAGTGCAGTGGCCGGATCTCAGCTCACTGGAAGCCCCGCCTCCCGGGTTCACGCCATTCTCCTGCCTCAGCCTCCCGAGTAGCTGGGAGTACAGGCGCCCGCCACCTCGCCCCTGTCTTTATGACGGAAGGTAATTTTGCAACATGGAGCAAGTTGCTCACCGAAGTTAGGCTCCAACGCTCTCACGGAAACTGGGAGATAGGGAGGGATGCTACTCCCTTGATATGTGCAGCATTTAAAAAAAAAAAAAAAGAAAAAGAAAAAGAAAAAGAAAGAAAAAAAAGGAAGAAAAAAAGCTTCCAGGTTCCAGAGACATTCCTGATCCTAAAGTTGACAAGACCTATCTAGTCCTCAAATGGATTTTTATACACATTTCAAAGAGTTGAGAAAGTACTTAACAATTAAGAAAGTACTTTAGTTTTCTAAGACAAATGCTCGGAGAAAAAGGGACAGGAAATCTCATCCCCTATTTTCAACAGGGAGAATTAAACCTCTTATTTAAAATTTTTTTGTTGGTTTTTGTTTCTTTAGCTTTAAAACAGTAGACTTAAAAAAAAGTCCAACTAAAGATTTATGTTTTCCTATGTGTAGGGCTGTTCTCTGTGGTTAAATAAATAACCCTGCTTAGAGAAAATATTCACCACTCTTCTTTGGCTCCTACATAACTCAGTTTTTGAGAGGGAGGGGAAATACGGCATTGACGCTATGTGGTTTAACCAATGCAAAAGATACACCGCCTTAAAAAGCCTACTACAGGAACATGGGAGGGTCACACCCTGAATAATGACGAATACCTATCCTACTGTTACTGATCACCTAGTAATAATCTTGTAGTTCACATTACTCATTTTTCACCAAATTCTTTTGGTGAAGGACGCTTCAGAAACGGCCATTACTGAAGAGCAGACCCATCTGGGTTCTCCACGCATTCTAGACTCCCGAAGAGGTAAGAATTTATTATAGGGGGCTACTCCCAGGACCTGCTGTATGCTTTTAAACATCCATTACAATTCCAGCATTGAGTTTCTAACATTTTTAGGCAGGCTCAGGCACTGGGAGTACAGGATTGAAAGACAGTTCCTGCCCTTAAGGGACTCAGAGTAAACTGGAGTTGCTGAAAACCATTCTAAAGCAATCCACGTTAATAACAGATGCAAGTAAAATGTGGGAACGTACAGGAAAAAGTGACCAATTCTGAGGCTGAAAAGTGCCTATTTTAGGGGTGGGGGCCTCGCGGCCCTAAAGCGGCTTCCCTTCCTGGAGATTTCAGCTCCGCGGACCGTCCAGCGCCTTGCGGGCACACTTAACATTTTAATCACGCCTCCGCCCCCACTCTCCGAATTCCTTTCCGGCAGCCGACCCGCCGAGTAGTCCCTTCCAGGCGGCCTCAGCTTATCATCCCCGATCCGGCCACTTCCCGGCCACGGCCAGGCGAGCCTCCCAAAGTTTCCTGTGACGCCGTCGTCCGCCTCCGGCCCCATCTCACCCCGGCAGCCCAGGACACCGGCTAGGGAGGAGCAGGTTACCGAGGCGGGGAGAGCGGCACAAACGCGCACACTTCGGGACTCCACCCGGGCTGGTGAGCGAGCCCAGAAGGCGGCGGCTGCAGCTCCGCGCCTCCACTCCCAGGGCCCGCAGCCCGGGCTAAGCGTGCGCCCACCCAGCCTAGGGCCCAAGTCCTGCCCCTTCGGGGCCCGGGCCAATCGGCCGCTCCCCGCCTCCTGGGAGGTAGTGGAGGAGGGGACTGAGGGCCGGGCGGCTGCGCCCGCCTTCCGCTCTTGCCCATTGGCTGAGGGCTCGAGGGTGCCCGGAGACCGGAGTGCAGCGGGATTGGTTGCAGAGGTTCGTGACAGTGGCTCCTATTGGCTGTGGCAGCCCCCGTGACGCGGGGTGGTGACTGGCTCCGGAGTCCGAGGGGCTCCGGCTTGTCAGGTTCTAGGTAGGTGCGTTTCGCGCCGCCGGCGGTAGGCGCTGTTGCCCGGGGCAACGCGGGGGAAGGGGGTAAGAGGAGGGAAGGCAAGCCTAGAGCGGGGGCAACAATCCCTGCCAGCAGAGGGGCGCCCGGGATTCGGCCCGGGCGTTGGGGCCGGTGCTGAGGCTTTTCCTCCGCCCTCAGCCAGCGCCCCCGCCAACCCCCGTCCCTGGCTGCAGGGTCATCCGCCCATCCTCCAGCCTGCAGCGCAGCATTCCTGGTTGGGGCTTGGGCCGGGCTACACACCCAGCCCCACGAGGCCCGCCCCTCCCACCACCATCCCGGGACCCGAAGGCTGAGGGGGCGGGTGCCCGCGCGAACGGGCTGTGGCGGGCGCAGTGGCTCCGCCCCTTCGCGGGGTCTGGGGGCTGCTAGGCGTGAGGCGGGGTTGGGGGGGGACTGTGGGCACCGCCCAATCTTGCCTGTACCCGCACCCCTTTTCTCGGCGGCACTCATCTCCTGGGCGCCGCCCTCCCGCTGGGGTGGCACCTTCAACCCCTGGTGTTCCCCAATCCCCTCCTGCCTCTGGAGCCCCGCAGTCTCCCTTGACCCGCTGGGTCCTCCCCAGCTCTCCGCCTGTCACTTTCCCCCGCTTTTATCCCCTACCTCATCTTTCTCCTCCCGTCTTGGCCAGAGGCGTCCTCCAAGAGTCTACTCAAGAGATCTTAAATGTGAAGCTAGTGGTGTTGGTAATTTCTGCTCTGTGGTCTCTTTGCCGATTAGAACTGGGGAGATGTTTGGAGGCACCTTCAGGGGTCATCTTTCTGCCTTACAGTTTCCCTTAGGATCGACTTTGTGAATACGCTCATTGGGTTGCGTTGGTAGGGGCAGAGTACTTCTTGCATAAATTGAGGACTTTACTGTGAGGTGGGCACTTTGTACGTTTGTGATTTTGCCATCCACTGTAGTGCATTCCAAAATCTAATAATTTGTTAAGGCTGGTAGCCTTACATTTTTCCTTCGCCTTATGGTTAAAAAAAGAGAAACTTTTTAACCTTTTTAATTCAGAAGTTGCGTATATTAATGGTGGTCTCACTATCACTTTGACGTAAACTGCTGTAAAGGTGTACTGCCATTCTCCTTTTATCCAGATATTTTAAGATAATAAATTTCTCAGATGAAGTCACCATATATGGAAGTGTAATGGAAAAATAAGAGAATAGATCAAAACTATTTTAGTGATTAAAGATTAGAAAATACTTTTCAATTCATACGTGGAATGAGAATAGGATTAAAAAAAACTATTGCAAAATCTATAGTGCAGTATTTGTAGTCCTGGTATATGTACCTATGTTGCCTTTAAGAAGACATTTGTGAATAGCTGCAGGTTTGTCAGGAAGGCAGAGTGTATCTTTTTGTAGTCCAGGAAAGCTTTTCTGCTGGTACTTTTGAGCCAAGAGAATTATGCTTCCAAAGATGCTGGTAATATATTAAGAGAGTACATAGGCATACTTCTGTTTTCATCTTTGAAAGACCTTTGGTGAAGATCTGTTTCTCTTCTGCATTGATTGTTGATAGCATTAAATATACATCATCTAAAACTATATAGTGTCAAGTTGATGCAGCTTCTGCACTACTGCAAAGGTTGATGTCTTTAGTTCAGAAGAAAGAATTCAGGCTTTGGTAGACAAATCACTTACATTTCATCTTCATTGTAGCTGTTACTGTAACTCTGGACTGTGAACATTTCAAATTTGCCAGTTTTTTCTCACCTATTTTACTATGAAAAATTTCAAACAATGCAGAACAGTCGAGTTGAACCCACCACCTATATATTTAGCAATAGCGATTTCAAGGCTACTGTTACACAGTAAACATTAAGGAGTAGAGGAACTGAAATGATCAAGCTTAAAAAGCAGCATATGTGGGCGGGCGCGGTGGCTCACGCCTGTAATCCCAGCACTTTGGGAGGCCAAGGTGGGCGGATCACTTGAGGTCGGGAGTTGGAGACCAGTCTGACCAAAATGGAGAAACCCGGTCTCTAATAAAAAATACAAAATTAGCCAGGCGTGGTGGCGCGTGGCTGTAATCCCAGCTACTCTGGAGGCTGAGGCAGGAGAATCGCTGGAATCTGGGAGGTGGAGGTTGCCGGGAGTGGAGATCGCACCATTGCACTCCAGCGTAGGCAACAAGAGCGAAACTCCGTCTCAAAAAAACAAACGAACAAAAAACCCCAAAAAGCCCAGCATATGTATATACATGTGTATGTAGTATATAGTATATGTGTATATACACACCACCAAATTATAAGGTGCTTATTTTTGTTTGTAAGTAGGGATTGTATTACTAAAACTATACTAACTTAATTACGTAAGACTATTCAAAGCGATCTTGTGAGTGAGGTAGGAAGTCATCATCTTTGTAATTAAGGCCCAAATGAGTAAACTGCATTTTGGTAATCAGACAAAAGGAAATCTGATGAACTTGTTATACAAATAAAAGTTTTGCTTCAAAATTGGACTCCTGTGTAAACAGATTATAGTTTTGTACTTGATTTATAAATAAACATCTTTTGGAGGGAAGTCTAAGGGACTATCAGTTATGTAAAATTTGGTAACAAACTTGATAAATTGGGTCAATCTTATGTCTGTTCATTTGGAATAAGAATGTATTTTTGTAATGGAAAAAGCTTACAAATGTGAATTTGTTTTAGTAGAACTGCTTCATGGAGACTGAAGTAATTAGATTTAAGTCAGTATTTCAATAGGACTCAACTATCTTGGGTGTTGTCTCATGGTTCTGAGGAATATTTTGATACAAAACTTCAATTTATAGTAAAGGAATAAGTGGAAATGGGTATAAATTCACACATTTGTATATCTGTGATTTTTCTATACCTGGGAAATTCCTGCACACCTCTTTAAGTATTTGAATCTTGCTTTTTAGTTTTTGCATACCCTAAATCTGTTTTTCATACTTCCTTCATTCATATAGTAATTTCTTAAATATTAAGGGCTATGTCTCAGAATTTATAGATCTCTGGATTGCTTTATTACTGTTTTTCCAGATTTCATTTCTCTTTGTTATGCTTAGGTATGGTTAACCTATCATGCTATTGATAGACTAAAGAAAACAATTAGGTCACAGTTTTAGAACTTTAGTTGTAGATTCAGTAAATTCAGAAACAATTGGATTTTTTAAAATCAAGGCTCCAATTTTCCCTTCCCTCCCTACCTCCTTCCCTTTTTTATTCCTTTTCTTTCCTATTTTTATTTGATTATAAATGTTAAATGCCTTACAATCGATTCAGAAAAGTATGGAGAAGAAAATGAAGTCACCCATCATTCTACCATAGTTAATGATTTGGAAACTAACAGAAACTTAAATTTCTTCTGTAACACTCTACCAATTATTGAGACTTTATGGTTTTCATTTCAGTGTATCTGCATTCACATCAAAATTTGTAAGAGTTCTTGAACTTGAGGCTGTTACCTTAGATTAGAAGAGGGCTCCTAGATCTGGGGGAAAAAAATGGAAAAGAATAAATAGAGGACAGATTAGAGTCAGAACAAAGGAATTAGACCCAAGCAGTTACTTTTTCTTATTCTGTAAGTATAAACATTTTAGTTTACCATATAAAACTGCTGTATGGCTGACAAAATAGGGGGCCATATTTTTTCTTTGTAATTCAAAATATCTAGGTAAAACGAAGTTTTCTTGGTTCTTTTCAATAAATATTTCAGATTTCTCCATTTTTGGAGGATATTACATAATTCAGCTTTAAAAACTTTAATGTCATGCATGATTTGTAATTATTTTTAAAATATTCATATCAGACAATTACTAATTTTTAGTCTCTTCATCACCACCACTCATTATAAACTTGATATTGTCCCTTTTTTTAGTAGGTATTAAAAGACTGGACATTTTATATAGGTGTTCCTTGCTGGGTTGCAAAGTGTGGTGAAAAGAAGAGCCATTTATTTTAGAGTCAGATAATCTGGGAAAAGAAGAGCCATTTATATTAGAGTCAG